GCAGATGGAAGGCTTACATAAGTCAAAGTGCCTGGAGTTAGCTGAGGTTGACCCAGATCTGAACTACTTCTACGGTGAGATAAATGCCGTCAGCTTCGACACGCATACAGCCAGCCAACCCTGCCTATGGTTCATCACTGTCTCGGCAGTCGAAAAAGTGCCGAGTGCCAGCTGAGACATTTTCCACAGAAGGACCTGTGTCGTAATATGTACATCTATGTCCGTAGCTATGCTGTGAATACAAATCGCCGTTTTTCATGCTGGTCGAGCCTTACTGTGGCCGATATACTTCCCCTCTGCCGTCATCCAGGCTTAGTACCAAATCAGCATCCGCAAGCACAGCTTCGCGGTGACTAATTATAATCTTGGTACACCCTGCAAATGCTTCTCTCATCAGGTGAAACATGCGTCCCTCGGTATCTTCATCCATGCTTGCCGTCCCTTCGTCTATCAAAACCAACTTTGATCTCGTAATCTGCCTATGCAGCATGGCGCGTGCAAGTTGAAACAGCTGCTTTTGTCCAACTGAGAATCTCATGGCGCGCATTTCAGCGCCCAAGCCACCGTGCCTCAGAACGTGGTCCCAGAGCCCAACTCGTCGCAGAATCCCAGCCAACGTGTCATCTGTCGGGAAGTTTCCCGGACGAGACGAAAACTCGAGAGGATCCATATTAAAGCGAACGGATGCCCCAAATTCGACTCCACTTTGCGTAATGGTGGTGATGCGATTTCTTAGTAAGTTGCGAGGGATAGTCCGAAGTTCTCGGCCATCTATATGGATGCTGCCGGTATACTCTAGCAAATGAAGCAAGGCTAACATCAGAGAGGTTTTGCCACTGGTAATTGTTGTTAGAAATTTGATGTGAGCCTTAAATAGAATGAATCAAGACGTAAACTGGTGTTCCTACCTTCCAGTTCGGCCAACCAGCCCAACCGTTTGTCCAGGTTGGATAGTTACTGTTATGTTTTCGAGCGCAACATGCGGTTTTTCGGTATCCGCTCTAGGATGAGTTTCGTCAGCCTCTCTCGCTGCAAGTCGGGCGCAAAAGTATTGTACTTATACATGGCGCTGACGCAGTCCAGGTCAACCCTGCCAGATAGTGGCCATTGATCAGGCACATCCTCACATTTCTCTTCGTCATCCTCTTTCGGCGTCATTCTGGCAAAGTCTCTGATGCGAGCGACAGCGCCAAAGGTATTCTCCATTTCGACAAAGAAACGGACAGTCTGAGAAGTAAAGTCGCTGAAGGAGATGAGACCCAGCAGAGCCAAGCCCATTGCGGAGGCGGATGTAGTCTTTTTGAAGTTGAGTGCCAGACTGACAATGCACACGGCTGCAGTCGCCGTAACAAAGTCCATGACCGAAATTAGCCATTGCTGAATGGCAAAAAGAAAATAGAGCGGTTTTTGGGACTCATCGAGGATGCGATACAGATGCCTGACGAAGTCCTCCTCCATTTGAAATGCACGAATATGCTCAATACCGGTGCTACTCTCGGTAGAGTGGCTGACCAGCGTCTTTGTGCTGTCGAGCTCCAGGATTCTTAGTTGTCGAGAGGTACGCAAGTAAAAATGCTGCAGAACGAATAATATAAAAAGGAACAGCGGTATGATGGGGGTGGCGTAGGTCGCACCCGATGAGATAATGCTGACATCGATCAAGAGCGATACAAAACCTAATCAGATTAGCTACACGTTAGCCAGGGTAATGGGACCATGTTACGAACCCCAGATAGTCGGCATGATAGCCATAGGTAACTCTTGTGTTGCCATAGACGTGTCTTGGCTGAACCTGTTTAGCAATTCGCCAGCATCTTGCTCTGTCAGAAATTCGAACGTGGCTCTGTTCGTCGCATCCAATAGTGCCCAGTGCAACGAGGTAGCTGATTTAATGTTGATGAAATAGAAAAAGGCGCTAGCAAGCCATATTATTAGCAGAAGGAGTAGGCCTATCAGTCACCGATTAAACTTACTACGCCTGCAAGTATGATAGAACAGGTGCAATGAGTCCTAGCCCGGCATACCCGATGTAGTACAGACGATTATCGGGATTATCAGCCAACCAGAAACGAACATAGATTCCTAGCAGAGCAGCATGTTAATAACAAAGGGGATAAATGAGACGTCGGGGGTTGGCGTACGAGGCATTTTCTCAGCAACAGCGGCGATAGCAATACTCGAAAGCCATAGTATCACGCAGTAGAGCCCCGCTGGTCTGAGGAAGTACTTATACAGTGTGAAATCTCCGTATTTCTTGTTGGATAAATTGTCTCGTGCGCCGCTGCTCGCGGTTGGTATGACTTGAGGTGGCTCAAATTCCTTCTCAGTGGGCACAGCTGTAGCAGCAGCAAGTTCGGCTTGAGAGGTGCTCTGGCCGCCCATTTGTCTCGATTGAATATCATTATATGACTCTGATTCGGTCTGAATCTGCTCCAAAGACCTTATTTCGACTTGACCCGTGTCGTCCAGTTTATAGATGGCGTCTGCATCCACCAGGTGTTGCCCTAGGATATGATTAGCGCCACACACACGCCGACACATGAGCAAATTGGAGGATCGCGTACTCATGCTAGTAGTCATGACAATTGTGCTCGCATTATCTGCCAGATAATGACTCTCCGAAAAGAGTCGGATCCGAATAGTCGACGACGTCTCCCTGTCCAACGAACTGAATGGGTCGTCCAGGACAAGAAGTTCGGCCTGGGTATACAGAGTGCGCGCAAGAGACTGCAAAAATTAGCGATTCGAATGTACTCGGCAAGTTGAAGAACTCACAATTCTTTGCTTCTGTCCCCCACTAAGATTGCAACCGTCACTTCCGCAGATTGTTTGATCGCGGGCCGGCAGGCGAGCTATATCGACATCTAATGCACAGATGTGTAAAACTTGTCGGTATAAAAGGGCATTATAGGATCGACCTGCCATGATGTTGTTTTGAATGGTAGTGTTTTGTATCCAAGGCACTTGGGCACAATACGCAATGGAAAGTGACGCAAGTGTGACTGTGCCACACCTGGTTGGGACCTCACCAAGAATAGTCCTCAGTAGCGTAGACTTGCCAGAGCCGACTGGACCGTAGACCATCGTAATACCTCCAAGAGGGACATGCATAGACACATCGTTCAGAATGGAGCCTGACAAGTCTGTACAGACCGACACACGGGTGATTTCCACAGGATAGGGCACAACTGAGGTGGTGAGTCGCTGGCGATTACGCAGGTTAGACGAGGCCTGAGATACAGCACCGGGCAATAGATCATCGGTGTCGACGACGCCAGCTTGCAAGGCAAAGCATCGGGCATCTTCCGTTTCTGAGAGGTTGAGATAATTCTGGATGCGGACGAGGCAAGCAAAGCCACTCGACCAGCTGCTCAAAGTTTGGACAAAAGCAGAAAGCGGACTAGAGACTAGAGTGACGACGGCGAGCGTCGTGAAGAAGCGCGCTACCGAGATGGGCTCTGACGCTCTTGTCCAGAAGATGGTACCGGCAATGACAAGAACCGGTGTCATAGCCGTCGCAAAATCTCCAATACCGAACGTCGCCGCGATTTGGTGGCGATTTGTCATGGATACATCGATTTCGCTTTCAAACTGTTTTTGGAGACGATTAGACAAGACAGTATTGAGGCCAAGCATCTTGATGTCTTTGATCTGCACCAAAATGTTGGAGGTTGCTGCAATTCGATCCTGCATGTGCTCATTCCACTTTCTGCGGGTTGCTATCATATGGCGAGCAACATATGCAGAGCCAATGCTGGTAATGACGGTGGGGATAATGGTGAAAAGGGTGGCGGCACCGACAAAAACAGCCAAGATTCCTATGCCAAGACCCATCTCGAGCAACCGGGCCCAACTCTCATACGAAAGCGAGATCAAATGGGTCACGCCAGTAACATCGACATTCATCAAGGTAACGGCAGCAGCCTCGGCTAAATCATCGGCTGGCAGCTTGAGCGACTTGTGATAGATGGCTGAAATCAGAATGCCTCTGACACCGATCATTATTTGGTTTTTGAGGTGAATGTACCAAGATTTGGAGACGGCCTTGCCGACATAAATGGCTGTTGTGGCGAGGATCAGGCCTCTGATGAGACCGATGGGCGATTCTGTATCTGAAGCCACAGCATTAACCACATCCTGCAACAAGAATGGCTGTGCAAAGTTGAAGCCAACGGCTAATAGCCGTGGCAAAATAATGTACAAGAATGGCCAAGGCATAGTCAAAACGCAAGCTTTGATAAGAGCCCATCTCGACACTTTATTAGTCTCGTCCCAGCGGCGCTGAAAGTGCTGATAGAGGAGCTCGGCCTCGAGATGTGGCCCAACGCCAGGGAGAACATTCATGGTAATTTCTCGGCGGAACCCGAATAATAGGAGCGGGTTGACCCATAGTAACAAGGATCGATTCCAGAAGCCAGCGAGAGCCTCTTGCCCTAGTGAGGATCGCAGAGCTTTGGACCGAATCAAATTTCGCTTAGAGACTTCTTCGAGGCAGATGAGAACAAGCTTAAGGGCAGGTAGCGGAACGTGCAGTCGTGCGATGGATTCGAGCCCGTTTCGATGAAAGTAAGTCCAAGTTGTACCAACGTCGAAGATCATAGTCAGAGTCAAGGCCAGGCCAAGGAATGAAGGCGGACGAAGAAAATACAGGTGGCCAACCACGACCATGATGCCCATGCATGCCGCGCTGATACTGGTCATAATGGCAGCTGCCTGGGCCAGCTGGGACTCGAGCGCGGATTGAGACCAGAGCACAGCGTTTGCTATTTGTATCCCAACCATGGCAAGGGCGCAGAAAATCTTGATCCATAGCAAGACACCAGATCGAACGACGTTAGTACCATGGAAGAGCGTGTAAATGTAAAAAGGCGTTGCAAAGACGATGACAGAGGCAGGAATAATATGGAGCATGGTATGCTCGAAAAGCAACGTAAAATCAAAATGGCCAAGCAGCCGTGGACCGAATGAGTCGTCCATGATATATACAACGTCGACAGGTGCGAACCTGCAACTTCCAAATATTGGGAGCAAGCCAGAATGCGGGAGAGGATAACAGATCGGACGGAGATGTGGGCGGCAGCGGGAGAAATACTCCAGCTGGCATGGGTGGGCGCAGTTATAGTCAGAAGATGTGCATGCTATATTAAACGACTGGTTTGTGCTCATCCATTAACGGCCAAACAAACCGGTGGACCCGTTAGATGAGCTTTGCTGGGTGGTGGGCAAGACTGAGGGGGACGGAGGGCATGCTGCATGCTGCATGCTGGCTGCATGTATGTATGGCTGTATGTATGTAGGTATGTATGTATGTATGCATGTACTCCGTAGTCTAAACAGCCCGTAGCCCGGAGAAATACCTGAATCCCACCTTCCTGGTTAGGCGGCTTGGACGCATCTGTTTCTCGCCGTGTCCTTTGCCGCAGCACTCCTTAATAGTTGAGTGATGGCAGCAGTCGAAGCCTGTCAGCTTGGGGTGTGTTGCGACAAGTCGGGGACTCCGATCACCCCTCTCCCGCCCGCGTCTTCTCTGGGGTAGCTTCAAGTAATGTGTTTGGCAGCTTTTGGATAGTGCCCTTGGGGAAAAGTTCCAGAAGTCAGTACCAGACGGGTTTAGAAGTTTGTTGTTGATGCCAAATCCATAGTGCCCCCCCCCCCAAAATCAGAAAACCATAGATGACGCCGCCCCAGTAGGCTCTGCGTCATCGTCATCTGCCGGCGCGCCATTCACTTTAATCACATAGTGGCAACGGATGCTGAAATTTGACCCGACCACAGCAGCGGCTGAGTGAGCCTCGCCATTTCTATGCAATGACGCGCCTGGTACGCGATTATGGATGTGATGGAAGCTATACTTTGTATTCAGAGGCCACTTCCCGAGAGCATGGAAGTTGACGCTATTATACACTGATCAATAGAAAGTACAGCGCAAAGTCTATGTGTAGTCTATCATCGAAGAAGAAGAAGGGGAATATGTTCCCAAATTGTCAGAGCCTATTTTGTGCCCAGAGTTGCGTCTTTATTAGCACTTTCCTCCTCCAATTCATAGGCACCAGAACTATAGATATGGCCTGCCATTCTGCCTCGCAAAAGTAAATTGTAGTCTTTGGAAGGCGGTGAGACGGCTGTAAAAAAAAAAAAAATTCAGCTTTCGAGCCCCATGTTACCAGACACAGCTCATGGTTACTAACCGGGAAGGCCTTGTGCCGTTGTAATGGCCATGGCGAGATAGAGAGCAGAGTGCCAAAAGTGCATGTTGGGCTGGATTGTCTTTGATTTGCGACCTGCAGGAGTTCCGAATATGCCGGCTATTGTCTTGCGATTTGGGGATGATGTAGCCCAAGTACAGTACTCTGCAGCAGCATCAGAGTAGGGAGGGGGGGGGGGGCAAGATAAATAACTAGAAAAAATAAACTAGAAAAATCTCAAAAACGGAGACTCGCTTCGGAGCCCCCGGCCTGGTAGGCTGTGTTCCCGAGTGCATTGGACAAAGACCAACTGCGACGACACATTATGACGGGCGGCTTTGGTGCGCTGTTCAAGGTCCAAGTCTAGTGTAAATGATTTGTACTACAAGTGATACAAATGGCTTGAATGGGTGTGAATGATGAAAGAACTAGGGGGGGAACATGCCAGCGTGTTTGCTACGTGTTATAAAATAGCCAGCCAACCACGTCAAGTATTCCCACCAAGTATGTACGTGATAAAGTGTGGCCATGCCCTGCTGCTGCTGCTGCTGCTGCTGCTGCGCCGAGATGAATAGCATCGAAAACATTTCATCTGTTTCAACAAAGGAGTGCATGCATGTTTCATGCTGCACAAACTCGCCCAGTATCCCGGTTTGTTGACAACTGGTCTCAGACAGCAAACAGGCTTGCAGGCCGGTTTTTTGTCCACACGGCGCTGATGATCGAGGGCTGTACTGTAAGCGCTATATAAACGTCAGCTCAAAGAGCTTTCGCCAAGCCAACCAAGCCGCAGCTGATTTCGAATCGGGTTTGTCGGGGTTGCGAGGGGCATGGCAGTGCCTCGTGGCGGGTGGGTGGGAGAAAGAAAATGGATGCCCAAGGTAGGCAGAGGGGTGAACTTGGTTGCTTGGCCAAGTCCAGCTAAATACAAAAATACCTACCTACTGGGCTGCCACAGGTTACATCCAGAGCAACGTGACCTGCATATGATGATGGCTGTGACGGCATTGCCAGCCAGCGAATCAACGGCTGTGGCAAGACGCTTTAGTAGGACGCTGAAAGAAAGGTTTGAAAAAAAAAAAAAAAAAAGAATTGTCTGCCGTGTCTGCCTCCCCTCTGGCTGACTCTGATTATCTTGACTGAATGTTTCAGTTCTTCTTGTGCCGCCGTCGCCTCGATCGCGTCGTTTTCTAGACACGACACTGCCCAATGTCCCATGTTTGATGCATACCACCAGCACATGGTTATTGCTAGTGTGTATCAGTATGGTGGTATGCACGACCGCTCAATGTTGGCTTAATCAATTGCAGCAATTCCTCCGCGGTCCACACCATCATCTGCTTGCGGACCCGGCGCGGATACGGAGCACACACCCCCCAGGCCCCCTTTTCCCCTTACCCCCATGGGCTCTGGGGGACAAAAAAAACTGTCGCTCATTATTGATGGATGCTGTGTTCTTGACCGCAGCTACACACCAGAAGAAGCTAATGAATATTTTTCAAAATCTAGAGTATATTCTTTAATCAAGCTCGAGCCTATAGAATTTTTTTTTCTGTCATTTTAGAGCGGCTTGTTACTATAAGTTTGGCTGGCATTTGAGCCCTCCCCCCTGCTCAAACATCTATATGGGGGACTGATGCCAGCGACAATAGCACCTTGTTTGCTTGTCTCCCGATTTCATCGCGCAGTGTCCAACCCGAGATCCTAATATGTATCGACCCTCTATTGTTTCACACGTCGCAATATCGCAATATCGCAATATGCTTAAACCCCATCTTCCAACCACGTCAAGTGGTCAAATTGCAACCCTCCCAACCTCCCTCCGCATCGTCTTTATTAGTACCATCAACACCAACGCAATACCGGTGCTGCAGCCACCTGCAACCTGCGCCTCCCGCCACACATCGTGGCAGCACCTCTTTGGAGCCCAGCGCGTGTTCCCTAGGCCCAAGGGGGTAGCGCATCATGACAAGGATTGGCAGGTCGACTAGGGTATTATCGCTCTGTCGTCGCTCGCATAAGCAGGCCGTCAATTCGTCGCCTTATTTTTAGCGTCATCCACCTTGGCCCACTATCTTCGCTTCACCCCATTTCTGTCGAGATACGGGGAGGGTGCAGAGCTACCGACTTATGAGGAAAATCATACATGTTACTTTAATTTTTTAGTCTTTGCTCTCACAGCACAGTCAGGCGGGCCAGGTTATGATGTAATTGGTTATTGGTACCAACTATTTCCTAAATCTCGTCTTTTCCGCAACCAGATGTGAATCTTGTCTTTTGAAGACGGTGTAATAATTCACAGAATAGACTTGGCAGGATCAGGAGCAATAGAGAATGTATAATTATATTAATAGCTTATACTTCTATATATAATAATAACTAAAGCTTAAATTCCGTGGCCCTCGAAAAGAGTGTTGCGGAGGATGGCTTTGCCGACGCCCAAGGAGATGACGAGGCGGCGGTCTGGATTTAGTCAAGGTTAGATTTGATCTGATAATGGAATAAGATAACAGCGGGGGGATCTACTAGTAGCCATGCTCGCAGTACTGTGTAGGAAAGGGAAAATTGGACTTGAATCACGTAGACGCTGGCAAGCAATAGTACTGTCATTTAACAAGATTCAAGTTTAATTAGGAGCCGATAATCTAACCGCAAGACATTCCAGGGATTCGAGACTCGAGATTTTTATAAGCTAAAAATTTTAATCTCTAGTTACGGCGGGCAAACGCGGCGCCATCAGCATCACCATTCTAGCCACGTTCTGTCCTATAATTGGCGCCACGCCGCCACGATTACTGATTACGAAAAACTCTGATTCTCTCGTATGAATATAAAAAGGCCCATTCTAACCTCCTAAAGGCCTTCTCTTGTCTCGTCTGCCGTGGGTCGGCTTCCTTCCAGCCGACCCATCCAAGTCCAGTTCGCTGATGCTCACCACTCCCGTGCTGACCTCTTGAGCTTCGATACATACGACGGCGAGGTCAAGCGCAGACGGCTAATCAAATTTTTACGGTGTAAAAAAGAGCCAAGAAACTCCAAAAAAGGAGGGCGAGAGACGAGTCTTGGCGTGACTAAAGGCTTCGAGAACGCCAGTACGAAACGTCTTGAGCGTCGATACATCATGGAGACGGGCATGAAGAGCTCCAAGGCAGCCTTTCATCAAGGTCATCAACTATAGGGAAGAAGAGAGAAAAGAAAACTCAGAAAGGGGACGGCGAGAGACGAAACATGTCATGACCAAGGGCCTTTGAGTACACCAGGAAGAAAAGAAGTGATCGCTGATCGTCTTCTTCCTGTCGCAGCGTATAGCTCCGAAGCAGAATGAAAAGGAAAGCATTTTGGCCCCGGTGAAGTGCAATGCCGGGGACAAAAGAAGAAAAGAAAAAATCGCCCTCTGGAGGCAGTGCAATACCATGGACAAAGAAAAAGAAGACAACAAAAATTATTCCGCGGTACCTACCGGACCAGTGACAGTTCAAGGGGTTAGTATGCCTCGCGCAGGGCCTTGAAGAAGGTCACCCCCATGTCAACCTCTTGAGCGTCGATACATCATAGGACGGGTGATTCCTCCGTCGGAATAATCATCTATAAGAAGGTTGAAGAGAGAAAAGAAAATTCGGAAAGGGGACGGCGAGAAACGAGTTTTATGCCACCCAAGGCCGTTCCTTCCTTTTCCATATGAGCGCTCGCTTCCACAAAGGACATGGCTGCCAGCTGGCAGCACATCCGGCTGGCTAAGTCATCAACTACCAACAGGAGCCAGGAAAGGCCGACTTTCCGCGGACAAAGGCCTCACTGGGCAGCCAAAAACTCTTACCTACTATTACTTACTGGGCAAGCGGCAATGCGGCCGATAGGCAACAGCTTGACAAGCTCCAAGCTCCATTTCTGGCCACTACCGACGCCAGATGCATACCTGCCTTGTGCCGCTAAGCTACCTACTTAAAAGAATGGGCACGTGCCCTTGTTTGGAAAATCACTTTGCCAAAGATGCTAATTGCTTTCATACAGTGGCTTAGATCTGCTCGTCATCTTTTAACAACTTGAATCCGAACAAGAGCTTTCGCGCCGTCCCTTGTCGACTTAGACGCCCAAATGGGAGCCGGCTCTTCTCTCGACCAAATTGCCATGCCGCACCGACCTACATCTGGCTATTCTGGTGCCAGTCCTGGTGACTGCTCACAGACGCTTGTGCCACGCATAGAACATGCCTCGCCGTAGATATTGAACGCCTGACCGGCCTTTCTTCCGACTGCTGGTGTCAGGTGCTCGCAAGAGACACAGGGCATATATTGGATGATAGAGATGTTCCGCGCGTCAGCTGCCATTGCTAGATCTTTCGTGATCTCTACGGTCGAGTGGTTAACCTATCGCCCTTTGCTCTCACAGCTGGCCACGCCTGTCGCTTATTGTGTCAAGCATGACGCGAGAAAAGACGTTGCGTCCACACAGAAACTACCGGTACGCAGCTCGCCATCCAAGGCAATAAAGATGCCTCGTTTCCTAACATCTATCCATATAGGCAAAGACTTTCAAGTCTCATGACGACATCCTCAAGGGCCACCTTACACCCTTACCATCCAACGAGGCCATCTTTCCTCAAGACGAAATACACGTCTCTCTGCCACTACTTTCCCAGCTGGCTCCTCCATCGCTGATCACGCGACATAAAAATCGACACTTCTCGAAAAGTTCGGACGATCCTACTGACCCTGTCATAAAGAGTCTTCCGCTATGCCATAAGCTGAAAGGGCCAAGTTCGAAATGGATTATCGGCAGATATCGCAAGTGTAGTCTTAGTCAAATCCTGCAATATTGCCTTTTGTTAAAGGATAGTGCTCAGTCAAGGCATTGTGTAAAGAACGTCCGTCATTAATTCTTCTCTGTCCAAAAAATATAGACAGTGAATGCCAGCTCCAGCGTTGTTAGTTCGCTGCCACCGAGTTCAGATAAGTAATCCACCCACACAATCGTCTTCAGTCCGAGATCTGTTAGAGTAATTTTTTGATTGGTATATTCTCTCGGCTGGCTACAGTGAAAGTCAATGACCTCAGTGTCAAGAATCAGCGAGCAGATTTGATATATTGTACATGCGAAGTAGAGGCTCCCATCTGAGACTGAATAAAGACACGAGCCGAGCGGTGCCGGAATCAGTCACATTTACCGCGTATCTTCAAGAAATCAAGTGATATTATCTCGATCATAAAATATAGACGATTGCGAATACCAGATTCGTCAACACGAGGATTTCTAAAAGATGCTCCCTTGCTTTCAAGAGGGAACGGGACGTGTCTGCACGCACTGAAGCACCGCTGGCCACGTCTCGCGCGACTGGAGGCTAGCGTGTTTCCACTCATTTTGCGAGTGACAGAGTGTTTGTTAAAGATGTATGCAGTGAGGAGAGAAACCTTCGAGCTTTTCCCGAGAAGAATCGTACTCTGGCCGATGCTTCCCAATTGACGAGACGGAGAGGCGACTGTGGACGAGGATTTTCTGGCTCACAAAGTAGCGCCGCCAAACGGCACGGCTGCAAGTTCAAATCTTGCCGAATGCGCAAAGTCATCTTGACAAAGCACCTGCGAGTTGAACACGAAACGGGGGATTTTTTTCTTCTTGAAATATGCAAATTCCGTTGCATGTCGTGGTTGGGTACTGATGGCCGCTTTGAGAAGGTGCACTTCCCCGCCACCGGGATTTCGCGTGGCTGTCAATGTTAGCAGTAGTTGGCCAAGCTCTTTTCTGTTTGCGCTCGGCCATTCCACCATTCCGCCATTCTCTATCACGATAATAACCCGTCATCAATAACGGCCAACATTTATTGTCAAAGAAAGCACCTTTTATCACCTCCTCTTTCCTGCTCATGAAATTGCATCTTTCTGACATCAGACATTACCCGATACTCGCTTTGCTCTGCGCAAAAGCCTTCGCCTGAAGATGGAGGACCAGTTTGGCGGCCGCACCGACGACGATTTGTTCTTCGACGAAGATTTCGAGCCAGTCGACGGTGTAGCTACCATTGTACACGACGATGTGCCCGTCCGAATTGACTCACGCTATATCACATATCCAAGCTCAGTGCCTCATCCTGCGGATATCGAGGCTGCGCTTGCCCCTCTGGCTGCTGCTGAAGCCGCCGCTGCAGCAGCAGCAGCAAATAAAAGAAAGGCACGTAGAAGACGCAAGTCAAAGTCCCCCAAGCAGCCCGTACCGCCACGAGGAGGTCTCGCACAATCTAGATTCGCAGAGAGGCCAGCAGCGAATCCGCCGAATCAACAGCAGCGACATCGCGAGCCACATCTACCCGACCCATCCTTGTCGACCGCGAGCCGAGACCAGATAAATGGCGAAGGTAGCTCCAGTAGTGCCACTGCGAAAGCTCCGGCCCCTCGCGACCGGCAGAACAATGGAAGGAATCAGGGAAAGCCTTCCGATAACTCTATTGATGCGCGGGCGCAGTCCGGCGCGAACCCTCGCCAGAAGTTGACAGAAGAAGAAATGACTGCCAAGATGGAGAAAATGAAACTACTGTCAGCAGAGAAGACGCGCAAGTTCGAGAAAGCCGAAAAAGACGAAAAACAACATGCAGAAGCCTATGCGCGCGGAATGGAAGAAGCGCGACGCCAGCGTGCCGAGGCGGAAGAGAAGCGGCGACAAAATGAAGAGCAGCGCCGCCGCCTGGAAGAGGAGCGTACAAAGAACCGAGAACGTAAACTCAAAGCCATAAATATGAAGCAGGACGGGTGGGACCAAGGCAAGGAGGTCACGGTTGAGGAAGATTCGCGGCGACCGGCGCGTGCAGTTAAAGCCTCTCACGGGTCAGGCTTGCGCGGGAGCCGTTTCGCTCCGGACTCGAGCGAAGGCGACAAGACAGTCACCCCGAATCGGACAGATGACGAAAGGCCGTTTGATGAACGATCTCGTCGCGGTGGACGAGGCAGAGGCAGCCGAGGTGAGGGACGAGGCGGACGGGGCGGACGGGGCGGACGAGGTGGACGAGGAGGCCGTGGCGGAGCCGCTGGCAACGGCCGAAGCCCGCCGGTAGCTCTCGTGCCGAAAGCTGAGGACTTTCCGTCGCTACCACCTCAAACAGACGCTCAAAAAGGTCCTGCGGAGGGCGATGAATCGAAACCTGCCACCCTGGCGCCGTTGCCTAGATTCGCACCGGCTATCGGAAAATGGGAAGATGACATGGAGTTTCTGGACGAGACGAATAGCGCCGCCGCTGCACACAACTAATGTATAATGAAAATGACTGTGTAACGTTGAAGGATTATAAAGGTAGGGTACACAAGGGCATGGCAAACAGACTGTTACAACGGGGGCAGCGTCAACTATTTTGGTTTAGGTATTCTGGTTCAGGTATTTCGGTATGACACACAAAGCAAACAGCGCATACACCCACTTCAGTTTTTATGCTCAATGCACAATCTTTAGAATCCCATCTCGCACAGCAGATCTCACCGGCAAACCAACCAGATGCGGCAACAGGGTATATGTAAAGAGTCGCAAGCTCCCAATTAACTCCGATATGTACAATTTTTTGAAATATTTTGCCGAATAACCAGTGTCCGGCAGCCCCATCAACACCAAGTCGCATGCAATATCCACTCGACCAAGTCTTCAACGTATAGTACAACCTGCCATCCGCCGCCTACCATCCGCCGCGATAGCCGCGACCACCTTTGCCTCTGTATCCTCCTCCGTGCCCTCTCGGTCCCCTTGGACCGCCGCCACCGCCGCCGGGACCATCATCGTCGTGCATCGTCCTAGCCCTAGTCTTCATTTCCCTTGGGAACGCATCATATGTCTTGCGCATCTGCGCAAAGCCCAGATGCATCTTGCCGTAAAAGTGATCCGCCAGGCGGCGGTCGTTATCTAGGCGACTGAGGTACGCGCCGCACACGTCGCAGACTTGCAGCTTCTGGTGGCCCGAGGGTCCCGAGGTATCCGCGAGGGCCTTGAGCTCCCTTTCCTTTTCTGCTTTTGCTTGCATGGCCTGGCGCACGCGGAACAGCTCGTCTTGCGCACGCGAAACCTCCGACATGGAGCCGAGTATCTCGACCTCGAGAAGACCGTTGTGAATAGACGTGTTGAGATCGGAAATCGCTTTCAACTGTGAGGCAAAGGAAATGACGTGTCAGCAAAAGGTGTTGAAGGATGCAGCGTGAACACACTGAGTTGTGCTTACCATGACATTGGTCTGTCGAATCTCTTCTGGCGTCTTTTTTAAGCGCCGTTGGGCAGCCTCGATGCCTCTGTTGCACTCGTCGATATACTGGTACAAGTGTCTGATATAATCATATTCGAAACCGAGCTTGCTCTTTTCGCGTTCAGACATGGCGTCGTACTCGGTCTTTAGAGCTTCCGAGTGGATTTTCGGGCAGGGTCCCAGGTCCTGCTTCGTGTTGGTGAAGAGAATGTGAGGACATGTGCCGGCAATGTAGGAGCGACACAGCTTCGGGTCGGAGAAGGAAACTTTGGCGGCTTGCGACGTCACGGATGCGCCCATGAGCTGCTCGAGCAGCTTTCGTTGTTCCGCAGCCATGGTTGAGACGCGATGCGATTGTGCTGAGCCTTATGCAACCGATGCGCAAAGATGGCCGGCAATTCGGATTGTTTGCAAGTCCAAATATACGAAGAGATAATGCTCAACAAGTACGACGAGTGATGTTAACCCGATTCAATGTCGCTTTGTAGTGTCCCACGCCAAAGCGAGTCTGGAAGGCAGACAAGATATTGCCACCTCTGACCGCCTGCCAGCGCCCCCACGGCGCTTCACTACAAGGCACGCCACGTCGCCTGGCAAGCCCGTATCGCGGCAAGCTAGGCTGAGAGCTTCCTCTTGATGCGCTCCTTTCCCTTAAATTCGCCAGCCAGTGTATCGGTCTGAGATGGAACTTCTGCCGCAATCAGCGCAGAAGATTTAAAGTCTTCTTCTCACAATGGCGCGGCTATTGTCACTCCTTCTTTTCCTTGTTTCCAGCATCCTTGCAATCGCTTCCACCGACTATCATGAGCAGCTGAATCTACGGCCATTGCCCCTGTCGGGCTTGCTAGCGAGCTTCAACTTTCGATCCAACATTACAGTAGACGACTTTGAGACGCAAAATTTTAGAATCTTTCCCAGGTCGCTCGCGCAAATTTTACAATACGCCGGCACCCGCGAGCTGCACTTGCGATTTGCTCTAGGGCGCTGGGATACAGAGACGTGGGGAGCGCGGCCGTGGGATGGACGCAAAGAGGGTGGACAGGGTGTCGAGCTCTGGGCATGGCTGGACGCGCAGTCGGACACCGAGGCAGATAAGAAATGGCTGGTTCTGACCAACGCGCTGTCGGGGCTGTTTTGTGCCAGTCTCAACTTTATTGACGAGACCCGAACCATCCGCCCCGTCATGTCTTTTCAGCCCGAAGGCAACCACTCGGATGCGATACTGGCCAACACGCGGCTACTGCATGGAGTGTTGCCGCATGAGGTTGTTTGCACGGAGAACTTGACACCGTTCCTGAAGCTACTCCCATGCAAAGGAAAGGCTGGCATCGCGAGTTTGCTTGACGGCCACAAGCTATTCGATGCCTCTTTTCAAAGCATGGCCATCGATGTGAAGCCAATCTGTGACGCCGATGGAAAGTGCGTCTTGCAAATGGAGGAAACGATTGACATGGTACTTGATGTGAATCGATCAAAGCGACCCAGAGGTATTTACACGGTTTTGTGGTGTTGGGTGTCGACTACGCTAACAAGGGCACCAGACAATCCGATTCCGCGACCGCCAAATGAAAACGAGCTCGTCTGCGACACATCCAAACCCTACCATGCACACGACACCTGCTTCCCCGCTGATCACATGCTTGGCCAGGACTGGACATTGTCACAGGTTTTTGGTCGGCCCATGCAGGGCGCTTGCCCCCTCACAGACGCCTCGGTGCCGCCCGTCTGTCTGCACATTCCCCATTCGCGAAGCGTGTATTCTTCAGACGGGTCGCACGAGATTAAAGATGCCGAAAGCCCCAAGCGATGCTACACCATTCCTGCGGAGGGTGAATTCACCCTTGTCCTGACGCAGCCCGAGGTGGTGGTTGAAGGCAAGGGCCTCGAGGTCAATGACCCCGAAACGCCGATACTCTTTGCTGAGCGCAGTTTGACAGGCTACGGCCAACAAAACGGCGGCGTCCAGGCCATCCTCACGAACCCTAGTGACGAAGAAGTCGAGTTTGTCTACATGGAGTCGCTACCTTGGTTCATGCGCATCTACCTACACACCCTGTCCACAAAGATATCGTCTACTGGCTCCATGACAACAGGCCATAATGGCAGCGACATCATCAAAGAGATTTACTATCGCCCGGCGCTTGATCGCGAGCGTGGCACGCAGCTGGAGCTTCTTGTCCAGATTCCGCCCCGCTGCACCGTTTTTCTCACCTACGACTTTGAAAAGTCCATTTTGAGGTACACAGAATACCCACCTGATGCAAATCGCGGATTCGACGTTGCAGCCGCCGTCATCACAACCCTGCGGCCAAAGGCCATGAGCCTGCGCACCACCGGCCTGCTTCTCTACTTGCCCACACCGGATTTCAGCATGCCGTATAATGTCATCATCTTCACGTCGACAACCATTGCGCTCGCCTTTGGCGGCCTCTATAACATCATTGTGCGCCGGATGGTGGGGGCAAATGAAGTTGCGCCGGGGGCACTGAACTCGAAGCTTGTTAAGCTCATTTCACGTATAAAAGGGAAAACCGCAGTAGCGTAGAATCTTGCTAGATGAATTTTCTGTTTGGCGTTGACATGAGCTTGTCTATTTCATACTTTTGAAATATAAACCTCTTTCAAGGCATAGTCATGCGTGAACCGTTGTCTTTGAACAAAGTATAAATATCGCGTGCTCTATCGCGTGATATAGCACGCAGTATATAGGTTCTGTTTTGTAACTCTGCATTCAATCCACCGCGTCCAAGGCGCCAAGGATTGGCGGCGTCATGGCTGTAGTTGACGGACAGCGTTTATTCTATTGGATGAATGCTACTTGAATTAACAAATAGTTCACTCTGGTTCAGCTAATGAGGCGTAATCGGGATCGAGCTCTAGCTACCACTTTTCTCTCCCGACACTGGACTGCTCTTGTCCTCTTCCACATCCTGACTGTTTACTTCAACCTACACATCCTCATCCCCTCCGACGAGAACCCCAGCATAACAACCTTGGCGCGTAGACGGTCTTGCCGATATGGAGAGAGGATCGTCGGGCACTGTATATACAAAGTCGGGTCAAAGCAACATTATTAGCTGGTAATGTGACATCTCTCTAACAGTTATCTAAATGCATTTCTAATGATCAAGCAGCCACCCTAATCTCTCTATGATCTACATATATACCTGTTCCTGGGCCGTGATGGCGGATTTCAAGACACGGACAATAATGTCCAGTTCCTCCTCTGCCACCGTAAACGGCGGTGCTAGCAAGACGTGGTCTCCCCTTCTGCCATCCACAGTCAACCAGCCAGGGTAAACTGCCACACCAGCCTCGAATGCCGTCTGCTGAACCTGGATACCAAACGAAATCAAAGGGTCAAACGTTTCCTTGGTCTCTTTGTCCTTGACAAACTCGACCGCCCAGAACAGACCGCGTCCTCGAACATCACCCACCGAGGGGCACCCACTGAGCTCTGTCCGCAACTTGGCCTCGAGAAGCTTTCCCATTGCCGCGCACCGCGCTACAAGGTCATCACGGCGCACAATCTTTTGCACGGCCAGCGCTGTCGCGCATGCGACAGGATGTGCCTGGTATGTATGCCCGTGGTTGAACGAGCTCGTTCCTCGACGGATGACGTCGACTACTCTCTTGTGAGCCAGCACGGCGGCAATGGAGCAGTAGCCGCCACCAAGGCCTTTTGCCACGGTAACAAGATCGGGCACGACATCTTCGGGCTCAAAGGCAAAGTACGTTCCGCAGCGGCCTGTGCCGCACATAATCTCATCCAGAATCAGAAGAATGCCGTACTTGTCGCAGAGAGCCCGAGCACCACGCAAGTAGCCAGGCGGCGGTGGTACGCATCCTGCGGTGGCGCCGCCGACAGATTCGGCGAGGAAAGCAATGACTTTTGAAGGCCCGACTGCCAAGAATTCGTCTTCGAGCTCTTTTAGAAGCCGCTCGGTGAATTCTTCCATTGTTTCCTCGTCGAGCTTATACCGATACGCATAGGCGGGCGAGACATGCGAGACGTGTTGGTAGCCAAAGCCTTGATATGGGACCTTGCGGGCCAGGTTCGACGAAACAGAAAGCGAACCCATTGTGTTTCCATGATAGCTCTGTTGCCGAGACACAAAATGGACACGATCCGTCTCGCCCTTTTCGAAAAAGTATTGCCGCGCGAGCTTGAGCGCCGACTCGACCGCCTCGCTGCCACTGCACACAAAAAAGGCCTTTTCCAGCCCGTGCGGGCTTCCTTGAAGCATAAAGTTGGCCAAGTCTTCTGCTGCGGGCGTCGTGTAGGATTGCGTGTGCACGTAGCCGACTTTGCTGGCCTGACGGAGCATGGCCTGGGCGACTTCCTCGTTGCCGTGGCCGATGATGGCTACGGCCGCGCCGCCGCACGCGTCGAGAACGGTGCGCCCGTCTGCGAGATGGAGCTCGAGGCCTTTTGCAGACTCGACCATGGCGGGCTCTACTTTGAGGGACCGATGCATCAAGTGCGTGCCCTCCTCGGTTCGCGTCCCTGTCGCAAGAGGAGCGGACGTGTCGGCATTGCTGTGCGGAGACATGATACTAGGTATAGAACGAGTATGGCTTCGTAGTTCTGATAATCTAAAAGACATCTGAAGGTAGCCATCTTCTTATATTTATGCTTATCATGGCCTGCAGTTAACTTGCCCATCAACTGGCCAGAGACCCGAAAACCGACAGCGATACCGGCACTCTTCTCATGACACAAAGGTCGCCGATTAAAGGGCGTAACGACGACAAAACTGGAGCAGAATGGCATTTAGTCAAGTTTACTTCTTTTCTAGTGCCGTCGTCCATCTTCTTGACCGCCTGAGCCAAACTCGGTTCTGGCTCGGCTCTGAATGATGGCGGCCCGCTTCGCTGATTCCCAAAGAGGCAATTCTCGGATTTGAATAACACCATTAGAACCGACGTACATGGGGACGTAAAAAAGATGTCGACTCCGAAGCCATTAAAGTGGACTCCAATATATATATATATATCTTTTTCTATTGCTTTGATATCTCTCTATCCTTGTATCAAGTTTTTTTCCTCCACGTTCCATCAAACATGTCTGACAAGAAAAGCTCGGAGCGGCCAGAGCCTTTTGCGCGTGCGTTACAGCAATCCGACGAAGAGAGTGGTCTGGAAAACAGCCATGATGCCACAAGCAAAGAAGAACAATACTTGGACGGTTGGAGGGGGTGGATTGTTGTCGCCGCCTCGTCTTCTGCCCTATTCGTGTTTATGGGCGTGATATATTCGTGGGGTATTCTGCAGGCAGACTTGGCACGTAAATCCAACATGTCGCTGACAACGTTGACGTTTGTCGGTTCATTGGCAACATCATTCATGACTTCGATATGCATCTTTGTCGGAAAAGCTGTCCGCAGATTTGGATATCGGGAGACTGCCATTGCGGGAGCCATATTCCTCGGCCTGGGGGAGTTTGCATCGAGCTGGGTCACCCATCACCTCGGCGCACTCTTTGTCACTCATGGTGTCATTTTCGGCGTTGGCGGTGGCTTGACAATCTTGGTAACTAAAGAATCAAAATGGCAAAAAAAATCATCTAGTTTCCTTTTTTGCTAATTCGTGTTATAGCCGTGTTCTACTGCACCTTTAAAATGGTTTCGCAAGCGCCGTGGTCTCGCCACGGGCATCGTTTTTGGTGGTGGGAGTCTGGGCGCCGCCGTCATGGGCGTCGCAACAAATAGCATGGTGGGCCGCATCGGTGCTCCTTGGACTTTTCGAGTTTTGGGATTCATGCTGTGGGCAGTCTGTCTTCCGGCGGCCTGCTTATTGAAGCAGCCTGCTTCTGCGCAGAATTCGGTTCCGAAACTTCAATGGTAGGGCTTGCTTGGCCGTCCTAAAGTCGACCAAAACTTAGAGTGCTAAAACAGAATTAGGCAACGATTCAGAGACGTCGACTTTCTCATTGTCTTTTTTGGTTCCTCTTTGGCTTGTTTTCCGCTATTCGTTCCTCCTTATTTCATCCCCGTCTTTGCCCGTTCAATAAGTCAATCGGGAAACACTGCCATTATTGGCTTGACGATTTGGAATATTACGTCTACATTTGGACGGGTTTGCGCTGGTTACACTGCCGATTCTTTGATAGGGCCCCTGAACAGCTTCCTCGTTTCCATGATTTGCTGCGCAGTAAGCTCATTCGCCATTTGGCCTTTTGCCTCCAATATGGGGATTCTGGCCGCATTTGCTGCCATCAACGGCATAGGCTGCGGCTCCTTCTTCAGCTTGTTTCCTACGGTCCTCGGTTCCATGTTTGGTCAAGAAAATACAATGGGAGTACTACCCCTCATGTGGGGAGGGTGGTTCTTTGGTTTCTTTTTTGTGAGTTTGAAGGAATTCACTTTTACCTTGCTTGTACTCGGCTAACAGTCTCAGGGAACCCCAATCGCCGCACAGCTCTATGCGTTGGCGGGATCAAGGACCGACATTGCCGCATACCGGCCTGCGGCATTTTACGCAGGGGCAATGTCAGCCATTGGTATCATTTTCTTCCTTGTATTGCGTCTACGAAAGACGAAGAGAGTATTTACGAAGATATAAACCTGTTTCGGATAGCATCGGCACGTCGCGTAATTGACGAGGCAATGAATGGGGCGCGCACCATGAAGCTCGCAAAGTTGAGAAAGCCGGCCCAAAAAGAATAAAATGGATACATATGCAGCGATGACTGGTACAAATAGCATGACTCAAAACTGGATCCAAAAAAAAAATTCATTTATTATTTCCGGGTCGCTATGACAAGCCCTTCAACCGTGCTCGGCTCATCGCCACGGACACCGACGACCCACCCGTGGCCGGTTTCGGAAAACATTTGTTAGATTCTTTCCCGAGAAGCATGCATACATTCCCGAACGCCACTTCCATCCCCCCAGCCCTATCATATTATATGCCAGTTACCATAAGCTGGCCGGAGACATCTCCGCCATGCGAACGAGCCTGTCGTGCGACAATTGTCGGTAGGTGCTGTTTGTTCCTTTTGATCGAAAGTTGCCCAACATTTGACGGAGATTAGAGCATCCAAAGTAAAGTGCATACACGCTGGGACCGCACCCTGCCAGCGATGCCACCGGTCAAACATAGACGGTTGTGCACTCAGCTTGCCCAAGACGACTCCAATCGGAAAAGCGAGGCGCAAGAGAGCTCGACAGAGTCAGGTCTCGGTGACACCGTCCGACGCTCAAGATGAGGAAACCTGGGTGAGCACTTCACGGCAGCAGAGCGAGGCAACCGTCTCGCCGAATATAGTCACGGACCGCGAAGCTGGCGGGCTTGTTCGTCAAAGAGAATCTTTGACCGAGACTCATCCGTTAGCAGATCAATACGATAAAGATATCGTTGGCCGTCATATCCGCAGCCTGCCACCGGGTATCGTGATGAAATGTCTCAATGTCTTTACAAACAAATTCCCAGAGCTGGCAATATTACATCTTCCTAGCTTCATCTCCGAGCTTCGCTCACGCGGTTCAAAAGAAGCCATCGCCCTGTTGAGCGCAATCTTGGCGGTGACGCGCTCTCAAATATGCGTCTTGAATGCGTCTTGGGGAGACGGCCTCTTGCATCAAGAGCATTATGCTCTGTACGCCAAAGATCTCTTGCGTCATCTCATGTTGCAGTCTCCGAATGTTCAGGTAGTCCAAGCATTGCTCGTCATTACGCAGCATGAATGGGGCACTAGAGACTTTCACAAGGCGTGGATCTATTGCGGTAAGACTGCAAGAAAAGGCTGCAAAGGGGTGAAGACGATACTAACTAGGTCCCGACTAGGAGTCGCTGTTCGAATAATGCAAGCTCTCCATAGCCTGAGGGTGGCTCCGTATCCTTTGGACATGACTTCGGAAAGGAAGACGGACGCTACTTCGGAAGCCATCGAGACTCGCACATACTGGGCTTGCTTCATCATGGACTGCATGGTCAATTCGGGCACGTACAATCCACCGATGCTGTCAATGTCGGAAATGAACAAGTTGAAAATTCCGCGGCCCGTCGGCGTGGTCGAATTCGCGTTTGGGCCGGACTCGTCTTCTCGGGCGCCACGCAGCGACGAATCCTACGCCAATCACACGACGGGCATACTCGACATCACCCAAGGTTTTGAGATTCTCGTCGCCGGGTTTGACATCTGGAAGCAGCTGATGGCCTTTATTTTCCAAGACGGGCGCCGCGCACCAGGCATGTGTGCACCTCCAAACTGTCCATGGGTGCCGGGCTCGCCATGGTTTGTGTCCCGCAATCAGCTGGAGAATTGGAGGGCAAACCAACATCGGAAGCTCTATTACCCAAACAACTCGGTAGCGGTGCACATGACACTAGGATATGGCGAGACCTTTACGTATCTCAACCTCCTATACTACGTCAGGTAAGGTCACGTCAATTCAGAATCATCTGCAGTTCCTAATCAGCCGCGTCTTATTAGTACACTGATGCTCCATCGAGAGTATTTCCCGTTTCTGCCGACGCTCGAGTCAACGCCACAGGGTCCTGTTGATCATCCCATGCTCGAAGCCACAGCTCCAGAGGGGTGGTGGGATGAAAGTGCTCGAATCCTGTTCGGGGCGGCGGAAAACATAGCAAGGATCCTCCACGAATCTTGCGAATGCGGCGTGCATTTAATGACGCCATTCGCCGGCTTCTGTGCCTTTTCAGCAGGCTACCTGAACCTCTATGTCTACCATTTTCCGCGGATGAATCTGTGCCGAAGCCCGCAAGCGAAAGCATGCATGGACATGTGTCTCGACTATCTAAACGAGTTTCGAAAAGTCTGGACAATTGCAGACGGATGGGTAAGTTTTTTTCCTGTTGTATCGAATCCGAAATCCCATGTCCTGACTTTTGTCATCAAGATCAAGACTATTCAGCACGCTTCGCTATTGTATTCCCGGGCAGTGGAAAATCGGTCGCGATACCAAGGCAGAACAAGAACTGATTTTGACGTGCTGCATCAGTCGATTCATGAATTTCGCGGCATTGATCGATCGGATCAGCATACACAAGAAATTGATGGGGCCGATATATCCCGCCATGCAGACGCTCAGAGGCAGCCTGTTGAGGGCATCGTCCCCGAGGTCGATACAAATACGCTTCTGACGCAGCTGCTGGCAGAAGTGAGCAGCAACCTTGACGAGCAAGGCGCATGGTCGCAGTGGTGGCCGCCCGTGGAGGAGGTGTCTTTACCACCGACCAACTGAAATTTTCAGGTAGGACTTGAACAGAATATCCATGTATTCTGATGTGAGTATAAAGCAGTATATTGATATAGACGTAATTCAGCAGCCTTTAACCCTGCGGCAACATGTCTATCTAGAAACCTCATCGAGCATGGCGGACCTCGAGATTGTCAAAGGTGGCTTTTGTCTGAAACGCTCGAACACCATTGGTGCCGTGTTTAAACTTGTCATCGGATACAGTAAAGCTAGCAATCACATCACGACCGTGCATGACCTTGCAGTCCAAATGACTACCAACGGCGCGAACAGCCACATTGTACACCTTGTTGGTGTGAATCGGCGCGTCGACTGTCTTGATTGGGGTCCAGCCACCGTCCGCACGGCCAATGACAATCTTGCCGCTCGTGCCAATGCCCAGGTAGTAACCACGGTACGCATGCGCACCTTGCTGCAGATCCGTGGCGCGGAATATGATGCCCGCGTCGCCGGTGTTTTGACTGGGAATGGCAACGTCGACGGCAAAGTACTGGTCGGTAAAGTTGGTGTTGAGGGCAGCCTTGGCGCCGTCCGAGGCCATCGTCTTGAGCTTGCGGGAGCCCGTGTCCCAGACGCCGCCGTAGGTGGACCAGCCAATCATGTTGCTGTCCTTGAAGTTGTCCTGGACGCCCATGACAATGGGCTCAATGGTCCCGTCTTCGCGGAAACGCAGGCGGTCATAGGCCAGGTGTCGGTCGTTGCCGTCAGTGCTGCCGAGCGGATGGCGGTGGTAGACAATGTAGTGAATGTCAGTGCCGGGGACGGTGATGACGCCGTTGTGGCCCGATCCCGTGGCCACAGCCAGCTCCTGCTGAAGAATCTTGTCCAGCCGCTTAAAGGGCCCTATCGGGTTGTTGGAAATGCCATAGGACACGGCATAGTCGGGGCCGCCCCAGCCGCCCTCGCTCCAGAAGAGATAGTACTTGCCCTTGCGCTTGAACATTTGAGGCCCCTCGACGTAGTTTTCCGGCGTAATCTCCTTGTACTGGTCGCCATCAGGGAAGGTGCCGACGCTAATCATGTCTTCGTTGATGCGGACAACATTTGCGTGGCCGTGGCCACCGTAGTACATGTAGGCCTGACCGTCATCATCGATGAAGACGTCTTGGTCAATCGGCTGGGCTCCGTTGTAGTACTGACCTATGAGAGGCTTGCCAATCGGGTCTCGATATGGGCCTTCGGGGCGATCAGCCACGCCGACACCAATGCCACCGTATTCGTCATTTGTTTGAATGTCGTTGGCGGCGAAGTAGAGATAATATTTGCCGTTGCGCGAAATGGTAGCCGGAGCCCAGACTGCTCGCTTCGCCCACGGAAAGCTGGTCGTGTTTAAAATGTTTGGATGTTTGGTCCAGTTGATAAGATCAGGCGATGAAAAGGCGTCCAAAAACGTCTGTGCATCGTACGGGCGTGAGTAGGTCGGGTATACCCAATGCTCGCCGTTGTAGAAGTCGCTGTCTGGATCGGCGTACCAGCCGTCGACAAAGGGATTTCCAGCCGGATTGGTAGCAAAATCGAGATCGGAATCAGTCTGTCTACTAGCAGCTGACATTATAATTGCCGCAACAATGACAGAAATGTTCATATTCGCAATTGTAGAAAAGGTTGACTACAGTCCCAGACGAGGCACCAAGACGTCCGATGTCAAAGAATGGTATCGCCGCAGAGAAGGGTCACCGCCATCGACATTATATAAAGAGCTTGACCATGGGACTCTCTGCGGAGTGCAAAGGTCGCTTCACCTGCCAGATGCATACTAGTTAGCGTGGCTGCAGAAGGATGCATCGTGCAAGTTGAGCCCTACGTGGAGGACTTTGTCCAGAGGTCGACTGTCTTTGAGATTGAAACCGCGGCTTTTTCAAAGACGTTACAGGAAGTCTGATATCGATTGTAGTGCGTAGATGATGTTGAAAAGATTGAACAGTTCCAAAATGGCCCATAGAGTGTTTTTTTATGCAAACGCGACTGACTCTTTTGAAACTCGGCTCGTTGACAACACTTTAGCCCCGCACCCCGCGTCTGCACGATCAAGGTAGCCAAGATGCCGACAGCAACACCAGCCCTTGCAAACGGCCCTTTTATTGTGAATATACAGGTGCGCTCACTCACTCTGGCTAAACATATTAATAACGTGTCTATGGAAAGGCCTGAAAATGCTCCAGCTCCGTGGTAGTCTCTAAACGTCTTTTTACTATCCATCTTGTACTCGGTACCCTGGAGCAGGTTTCTTGTGCACAGTGTCGAGGTGGTATACTCCTACGTTTTCTTTAAGCGGACGCAGATTTAGCGGTACTGCAAGGTTGTATCGTCATGTTGCTTAGGAAAATATGTTTTTTTTTTTTTTT